ATGGGCAAAACCCCCCCCCCCCCCCCCCCCCCCCCTCTTTTTTATTTTTTATCTTTCCTTTATTTATACGATAAAGAATTGTTGACATTTTAATGGAGCCAGTGGCGGACCTAGGAGGGGCAAGGGTTCTCACCCAAACCCTCTCAAGTAAAAATTACACCATTTATAAGATTTTTATGCTACTTAGTGATTTAGGAGGTTTAAAATATTTTTATTGTTCGAACCCTTTAGTGAAAATTTTCGAAAGGAAGAAGAGAAGAATTCTATGAGCACATGCCTTTCTCCATCCAACCAAAACATTTTTCAGAGCAGTGATAAATACTAGTCAAAACCCCTCAGCTTAATTCATTAATCATCTTATGATCCAACTGTGGGGACTATATATGTTGTTGATTCAGACTAGGTATGGCTCAGGATATTTATAGCATTAATTTAGTGTGGGTCAAGAATATTGGAATATGATAAAAGTTGGTTATGTGTCTGTACCTTTGGTCATCTAAAAATATAGATTGATTCACGATAAAATAAAGAAAGTTGATGTTCTAGTAGATATATGGAATGGCGGTATGATATGGATATATATTATTATAATAATGAAATGTTCCAGTATAGATTATACAAAAACAATGGATATATAAGAATCTGATTCATTTTTATTTTTAATTTTAATTTTAATGCAACTATGGATGTACGTAAGTCGTGTTGGGATATGGACCGTGCAACAAATACCCTTTCCTTCCTATGGTACTTTTTACTTTTTGAGAGTTAATTTGATTAATTTTTAAAGTTAAAATTTTAGATATTTAAAAACTATATCAAAAAGTATGGAGTATAAATTGTAACTTCTTTCATATTAATATGATGAAAAAATACATCTTAAAATGGAGTTCGAAGTTAAAAGGGTAACTTTTTACCTTCAAAAAATAAAAATGGTACATCAAATTATTTTTAACCAAAAGGCAAATTCTTCTGACAAAAATTGACTCCGTAAAAAAAATAAAAATTATTTCTCTTTAAAATCGCTGCTCTGGCAATGATTAACCATTATTATGATAATACATATTCCAGCCTGCTTGAATACCAGAAAAATGAATGGAGCGTTTTAATCAAAAAAAAAAAAGAAAAAAAAAAGAAGTTTAATCGCTGCCATTCAAGTGAGTTAAAAAGTAAAAATAATATAGTATTTTATAAATTAAAAATTAAAATAAATCTGTAAGCACTGCATTTATATTAGAAGAAAAGGATAAATATATCTTCGAACTATCATAAATGATATATAGATACCCTTCGTCATACTTTTGGAACATTGGCCCCTGTCGTCCAAAAACTAGAGCATATATACCCTTTATACTAACGGACATACACGTGTCATAATCTTATTCACCGACCGACATTTATTAAATATTAGATTGACGGATAAGATTGTGCCACGTGTCCCTATTTAGTCTTCCGTTAAAGTGAAG